AAATGTCACTTCTAGGATAATTTGCATTAAATACTATGTTTTGTTTTTATTTTCTTTGCATAAATACCTCTCTCTTTAACCGTGTATATATATAAATATTTACAAGATTTTCTTACATACAATATCTACCTTATTTATGTGTGACAAGATAGTTGTGATGATTGCCTATTAGCTTAAATAAGAGCATCTAGTTATGGTAGTTGATAGCATTTATTTCATTACATTTATTTAGTTGTCCATCTATTTATTTTTCGGCCACTATCACTTCTATTACTTTTATTATTTTTATTATCTTTATTATTGTTTTTGTTATTGGAATAAACTTAGTACTATTTGTTTATGTGGCAGGTCAAAAATGATTCTATACTTCTAAAATTGGCGCCACAAAGCAGAAAACTCGAATGGAGAATATAAAACCTAGACTGACAATTAGTATGTCAACGAGTGGAATTCCAAATATACCCCTCAATACTTAGAAGCCCTAAACCATAAGTGAAGGACCTCTTCGTAAAAACACCCCCCTCCACTCAAACTGGTCAAAAGGTCAAAGGTCATCATCTTCTCCACTTTACAACCCTTCCAAACTTTTCGAAACTCTTCAGCCGAACACCATTAAAACTCTTACATCTCTCAATCCTCATCAATTCTCAATACACAATGGAAACTATTGGTCAATCAAGCTCACAAGTCCATGAAGAACAACCCGAATCTCACCAGACTGGCCACCAATGTCAAAGCAGGAGGAAGCTTCGACCCTACTGGATTTCTCAAAACTGCCAAAAATTCGGAGCTTGCTCAAAGGATCATACATGCAATCCAAAACAGTGGTCTAATGAGGTTATGTTCCTATTCCTACTCTGGATATTATTTTGAGGATGTAGCCGACTTCTATGTCAATGCCAAGGTGAATGGTTGGACCATTGAGTCCACTGTTAATGGAACTCCCATCTCCATTGGAGAAAATGAGTTATTTTCAACCTTTGGACTGCCTATATCTACACCGGAACAACCTTTGTTAAATTTAGTCATGCATGTATATGACCGAACTGAGGTCTGGACCGAGATTAGGAATGAGAAGTCATCTGTTGAACCTAATCTATCTGGAGATAAAACTGATTTGAAGCTGGAATATGAAATGTTGATCAATGTGATATACAAATGTATTCTGTGCAAAATAAATAGTATGCAGGATATATCTCTGAAAAGAATTGGCTTTTTACATGTTATTATGACTGGTGTTAAGGCAGATTGGAGTAAGTTAGTGTTGAGCAGAATATGCCATTTTGTTAAGGGAGCAAAAATCAAGAATGGGAGGTTTAGCCATGTGCTAGGATTTGGTTTGTTAATTGGTGAAATCTTAAGACACAAAGGGTTGATCATGAGAGCAAGGAAGCCTTTTGGAAATAATAGGGTTCTTTACAAAGATTTTGAAGTGATAAATGAGTCTAACAAGAGGAAAAGAACCACTCGAGCACTACCCGCCCGAAAAAGATTGGTAGAAGATATCCTCAATGAAAATCCTCCACCCGAACCCCAAGCCAATGATCCTCCCAGTCACACTCATACTTCTAGTCACAATCCCAATCCAAGCAACACTCATACATCTAGCCACAATGACCAAAACCTAAGCCAAACTCACACCACAAGTCTCAATCAAAACTCCAACCAAAAAATGTTCCAAATAACCCAACCTCTCAGGTAGAAGCTATGAAGGAAGTTCAAAGTGAGATTATATGTCAATTTGATGGGTTAGACTCAGTCTTGGTGAGTGAGTACCAAAGAATACTGAATTGGAGAGATTGAAGAGTTGGTACATATCAAGAGTTAATGTCACGTGGACCTAGCATGGTGAATGAAGAACTATTTGCTCTAAATTGGATTGATTGTCATGTTATTTCTCAAGCTACAAGGATTTCTGTTATTAATGCTGCCTTTCTAGCCAAATTGAAAGCAAAAATGGTTGAACAAGTTCAAGCTCATGAAGTCCAAGGAAATCTGCCAACTGAAAATGATTTTTTAGATGATGATGAAATTGATCGAGTAATGGAGATGTCTCGACACATCACAGATCCGGAAATGGCAAGTGGTTCTCAAACTGAATTCTTTGGTCAGTTTACTGATCAAGGAAATGATTTTGTGAATCCAAATTATCTTGATATTGATCTATATGATGTGAGTGTTTTAAATCAGACTGAGGTGAGCCATGCACAAATTGAAACTCAAGCCATGCAAGGCAGTCAACACACTGAAGAAGGACGTTCTCAACATTTTGAGAGTGGTCAAAATGATACATTTGTGCTTGAGAAGTTTACCCCAGAAAGAGCAAGGCAGGAACAAGAACAATCTCGATTGGCTGGTGACAACTCAGCTCAAGGAAAAGCAAGCACTCAACACACTGTCCAAGAAGTCAATCATGAAGCTACTGCCTCGGATGAAAGCCTAAAGAAGCTGGAAAATGTCATTCTCGGCTTAGTGGACAAGATGGAAGGTTTGATCCAAGGAATCTACACTCATGTTAATCATGTTATCCACACTCACACGGGAAATCTTGAAGAATCATTTGTTGACAATCAAAAGAGTCAACAAAATTTGATTGATACACATCAATCCTTGGAGAGGCAGATTGGTGGTTTGAATGCCAATGTAAAAGGAGTCTTCAATGAGTTCTTTCTTCAACTTTCTCAAGCCCTCAAGAATGCTTGTCCTTGAGGTTCCTATGACATCATTTCACAATCTGTTTCTTCCCTTCGAGAATCAGTGCATATGTTGGTTGATTACGCCAAAAAGGGGGAAGAGAGATTCAGTCATTTGGAAGCAATGTTGGAGACAATCATGACTGCCATGGCTACCAAAACTGTTGGTGCATCTAGCAGTAGAGGAGGAGGCAGAATTGGAAGAGGCAATGTTGCACGAAGAGGAGGTCTTGAATACTGGTTTGGTGGTGGTGATGCAAGCAGTCCAGGTGGATCTAGCAGTGCCAATACCACTAATAGATCTTTTCGTGACATTGTGTGTGCAGGTGGAAACCAAGAACAGATTAACTGGTACAACAAAGCAGCCCTATATTTGGAATCCACACCAAGAGATGGCAGAGTTGAAATGCCACAATTAGTAAATATCAATGATCTACCAAAAGGGATGAAAAGAAGTGGTCCAAGTGACCAAAATATGTGGGTTTCAAAGGAAAATTTTAGAAGAATCAAAAGCTATGCGAGATCTCTAATGATCATGGTGCTTCTAGACTACATCAAGGTGAACGATGCTGAGCTACAAGGAGACAAGAATATAGAAGAATGCATCATTTGGTATGAAGAAAACATATTGCCCGGGAACAACATCATTGAAGCCTTCAACTACTATGTGATTGGGCAGGTATGCAAAGATTATGCAATTAGTGATAATTTTGAGGAAATCAAGAAGCATGTCAACCATGTGTTAGAAGAAAAAAGGAACAAAATGATCAAGTGAAAATGTAACTGTTGATACAAAGTTTTTTTTTTGTTGATCTACAACCAACTAAGTATGATCATGAATCTCTTTGCTACAATATGTTGATCTGATTATGATGCTTATAGTGTTTTATCTATTGTTATTTTAATCTGTCTTGAAAGGTAATTTCTTGGCCTAGCTTGTATCAAAATCGCATAATTGGAAAAATTGAAAAATTCATTATCATTAAAACCCAAAAATGCGAATAGGAATTATGTTGCTAGAAATACCTTTCCTAGAGTCAAAATCAAATGATAAACTCATCATGGCTATGTCAAGATTAATAAAATCTCTTGAAAAATAATTTCTTTTAAAGACAAGCCAAATGACTGAGTATAGGTTTTGGCGTCATCAAAAAGGGGGAAAATTGATAGGAATATTTTTGTAATAAAGTTTTGATGAGCCAAATGTATTTTAGATCCCCTTAGATTTTAGGTCTTTAGTACAAGCATCATAATTCAGAATATCAAGTCAGTATGCAAATGAAAGTCTACTACATGAAGAACAAAATTAATTGGGAGAATTAATTTTGGTCCTACAAGTATTCATTCGGAACTGAAGTACTAAACAATGGCGTTGCAAAGAAAAACCAGATGAGCCTAACGGCGAAATGGTAAAAGTCTTTACATATAATGATCACACCCGAGATTGATCTCTCTCTAAGGATTTATTTTTTTTATAAGCCGGATTTCAAAGAAGGAGCACAATGTTTCAAGAAGAAGCACAATCTCTCAAGTCAAACAAGCACAATGTGCCAAAGTCAAAGAAGCGAGATGCGAAAAGAGCACAACCACAAAGAAGCGAGATGCGAAAAGAGCACAATCCTCAAAATCAGAAAAGCACAATGTTCAAGTCAAAGAAGCAAGAAGTGCCAAGACAAACAAGCGAGATGTGACAAAGAAGAAAGATCAGAAAAATTATATAAATTCGAGAAGAATTTATATTGGTACATCTCACATGTCACAAGAATCCAAATTGCCTAAAGATATGATCAGAACGGTGAAGAATTTATGAAGGCATGGATAAAAGATCTTATCCTAGAAATAAATTCTATCAGAAGAACTTATTGCAAAAGAGACGTTGGAACTTCAAACTAGACAAAGAAAATAATATTTTAGAAACAACTTGAAAATCAAGTTAAAATAAAATATTATCTTGTCAGGCAAGTTGACAATCAAATCATATTGAGAAGACCTACCATTGTCAACAATATCAGGCTATGAAGATTCAAATTTCAAATATCAAATTATCCCACGCCAATGGATATATTTGGTTATCTATAAAAAGGCCATGAAGACTTGAAGAAAGAATAGAGGTGAATACAAAAAAGAAAACGTGAATACACACGAGATAAACAAGTGCAAGTGCTCAAATATTCTTTAGAGACTTAGTCTGAATAGTCTCAAAAATAGTTGGAGAGAGATACAATTACCTTTGTATTTGCAATTGTTAGAAGAGTACAGCTGTGTGCAAAATACTCTAGTGAGTGTAGCTTTGTGCAAAACACTCATGATTGCTAAGTGTAGCTGTGTGCAAAACACTCGTGATTGCTAAGTGTAGCTGTGTGCAAAACACTTAGTTGGCGTTGAGTATAGTTGTGTGCGAAATACTCGGAGTTGAGTGTAGCTGTGTGCGAGACACTCGGAGTTGGGTGTAGCTGTGTGCAAGACATCCGGAAGAAGTGCTTGTGTAGCACTTATTCACTATTGTAACTGTGTGTGGAAAATAGTGAATTACTCCTAGAAGTGAATGGAGTAAAGTGGACTAGGAAGATTACGCCACTTCCGAACCACTATAAATTGCCTCTCTCATTTACATACCGCACTTACATAATTCGCTCTATTTATTTGTCATCCGACTAAACCATTTACTATTCACTGTTAATCTTAATCTTTTGGGTTTAGCATGTTTTCACGTATGCATGTAACTCAAACTTTCCGAGCTTAACCTTTGAATTATTCTAAGCAAGTTTGACGTATTACATGTGACGTTCGTCATACGGTCGACGTGATACGATTTCTTATTTATAGTCTTGAATATTATTGTTAAATATTGAGTGAACCATCTCCTTTAAATATTCAAGATATTCATGTCATCCACACACCTCATCTGAGCTTATCATACACGTGCATGTGGTTCAAATTATTAATTGGGCATAACTCTTTACATATTCCGCTGTGCAGTTCAAACTTACTCTATTTACTTGTTACTTAGAGTTGTAGTTACCAAAGAGTTATTTATTGTGAAAAAGTTTGAAAGTCTATTCACCCCCCCCCCTCTAGACTTTCACCACCCTATCGGGACCAACACAGTGGCTGCACAAACAGCTCGCCAAGAAGTGTTTTTTTTGTAGCTGGAGCAGAAATTTTTTCGCTGTCGGATGTGGTAAATTGAGACAACATTCTTTTACTCTTCAAAGTTTGGAAAAACCATTCCTTCTTGGATCATCTGTGTTTCATTGTCGTAGGACAGAGTTGGTTCGTCATCATCTTCCTCATAAGATACCGGGGCGTGGTAGAATGGAATCTGAGAATCGTCCACCCTATTTCTTCACCTGGTTCATGGTTGGAGTAATTCAGGAGGAAAAGTAAGCACGTCCTCGTCGTTTTTTGGATCTCCTTCGGCTTTCGATGGGGCGGACACTATTCCTTCTAGTTCGCTTGTTTCGGGTGAACCGACTGTCTCCTCGTTTCTCGGTAAAATGCGGCTACCGGAGGCTTCATCTGCATTAATCGTCAGGGAATGAAAAGGAATTTCCTGGCGAGAGAATTCCACATATTGGTCGTAAGAACCCAAGTCTGCGGATGGTGGTTCAATGTCAGCCAAAAAATCCGTGCATGTCTGTTGCGATTGATACGCACCGCCTTGGTTTGTCACTTCTGCTGCAGCATACACGTGGACCTCACCTAGGCGATGTGTTTGCAAAACAAAGTAATCCCATTGATCTGGAGTGTATATACGATATGCCATTTGTAGTAGACCCATGTGACTGTCGTATAAGAATCTTCCAGTAAGTTCTAATGGTACTTCGGAAGAAATTCCCATTTCGTTGCGTATGAAATCGACAACAAAAGGTAATGATCCGACAACACGCACAACAATGATAGCCCGTGGAGGCAATGTGTAGTACATTTTCGGTGTTGTGGAAGACTGGCAAATTTGACCACCCCAAAAAATAGACAATTGGCAAACGTCTTGTGATGAACCAGCCATTTGTTTTGTGTTGGTTGTAATTTTTCTTGGAAAGGGAGTTAGTAATTCAGAGATAGAAGAAGAATGCAATTTTGTATTTGGAACTTCGAATTGTTTGGAATGGATTTGTCTTTCAATTGGTTGGAATTTTTCGTTTATATTGACATGCGATGAATTGTGAGAGGAACAAAAATAATCAATGCTTTGACTTATTTTGCCTATATGTTAGGCGAGATTCTAATATCTGAAATTTTCATCGATTAGACTTATCACTTATAAATTTTGTATTTCCAACTCATCTACTGTTTTCAATTTATTTTCAACTCATCTACTATTTTCAATTTTTTTTTCCTTTGTCAGTCAGCCTTGACATAAATCTGATGTAGAAGATGAGATGTCTCATCAGCTGAGAATCTAGCCTATCTAATAGGCTAAATTCAAATATATGAAATTTTCAGCGATTAGACTTATCACTTATAAATTTTGTAGTTCCAACTCATCTACTGTGTTCAATTTTTTTTCAACTTATCTACTGTTTTCAATTTTTTTTTCTTTGTCAGTACGCCTTAAGCTGAGAATCTCGCATATCTAATAGGCTAAATTAGAATCTCTGAAATTTTCAGCGATTAGACTTATCACTTATAAATTTTTTTGTTCAATTTTTTTTCAACTCATCTACTGTTTTCAATATTTTTTTTCTTTGTCAGTCCGCCTTAAGCTGAGAATCTCGCCTATCTAATAGGCTAAATTAGAATCTCTAAAATTTTCAGCGATTAGACTTATCACATATAAATTTTGTTGTTCAATTTTTTTTCAACTCATCTATTGTTTTCAATTTTTTTTTCTTTGCCAGTCCGCCTTAAGCTGAGAATCTCGCCTATCTAATAGGCTAAATTAGAATCTCTGAGTTTGCCAATGATTGGACTTATCACTTCTATCAACTTTATTAACCATTAACCTTATTTTGTAATTCGAACTCATATTCTCTTTTAAAGTTTTTATATCTATGTTAGTTCATATTTATATAAAGCTGATGTTGTAGATGAGATGTCTCATCAACTGATAATCTCGCCTATCTAATAGGCTAAATTAGAATCTCTGAATTTGCCATCGATTGGACTTATCACTTCTATCAACTTTATTAACATTTACCTTATTTTATTTTGTAATTCGAACTCATATTCTCTTTTAAAGTTTTTATATCTATGTCAGTTCATATTTATATAAAGCTGATGTTGTAGATGAGATGTCTCATCATCTGAGAATCTCGCCTATCTAATAGGCCGGCTAAATTAGAATCTCTGAAATTTTCAGCGATTGGACTTATCACTTCTATCAATTTTTATATTGCCAACTCATCAACTTTATTATTATTGTTTTATTATTTCTGTGGATTTGTGGCCAGATTGGGTGGGGTATCAATTTAGCCTTTATTAGAGAGTCAGTCACAACTTTTGATAAAGTTCTTTGTCTTTATTGGTAAGAGATATGTCTACTCCGGAGTAAAGTTCTTGAGCTGTAAAATTTCGCCTTTCTCATAGGCGAACTTACACCTCTATTTATTACAAAAATTATTGTTAGGTAAACAAAGTCTCAAGCATTCAGTAAACAAAGTCTCAAACATTCAGTACATCGCCGCAAAATGGACTTCGGTATGTTTAGGAAATTTAGTAATGATTTTAAACGAGGTCAAGGTACAGATTATTATACGTACTATGTGCATACTATTCACGGACGTAGGTACTCCGTGTACACCTACGGGCGAGATCATGACGTAGAGAACGGGGTCAGAAAAGTGTTTTCCAATTTTTCGGGGACGTGGCAATGGTTGTTGGAAGTTATGGATATATCTATGATTAACCCACGTCTCATGGGTACTGCCGCTGCCGAGAGATTTGAACGAGAGTTTTTATCTGGTTCAACACGTTTTAGATTCGTAGGATATCGTGGTATGGTGAAAAAAAATTTGCATTTGTTTTATTTTTGAACTGTTTATTTTTTGTTTTAATAACGGTTTTAGCTTTGTAGGTAATTATGGTCCTCGGTGTACTTACACAGAAACAATTGCTCATCATCGCCATCCAAGAACCGGCACAATATGTTGGTTTTCCGTGGATGTTGATGACTTGTCGTCGATCCCTTTTCCATCGTGTATGTATAGTCACCTTATTCAACACGTTAACAATCCCGCACTATTATTCCACGGACATTCAACTCCGTGGGCTATACGGATACGCGCGTGGAAATTCATGGATTTCGACCATATATTCCACGCAGGGTGTAGAGTGTTTGCCGATGCGCATGGGATTAGAATAGGCGACAAAATAATTTTTCGACACGTGGGTAATTTCAAGTTTCATTTCTTTGTTATAAGAAATAACGAACAGATTCAACTTGGAGAGGTCCATGGCGATGCCGAATACCGGGAAGATCCAGCAAATCAAGACCATCGAGGTGGCGTTATATGTGTCCCAGTGATATCAAGCATCCAACCAACTATTCCATTGACTGCCCTATCAGGATGTAGGACGTTAATGATTGATCGTGAAGTATTACTGAGCGACCAATCAGTACTGTGCCTTTTCATCGAGCAGACACCTACAGATGTTGATTACGTGGTTATCGTACATGGACGACGACCCATAATGTTTCTTTCCGTCACATTCGATGAGTATCCCATGAGCTTTGCAACCGGGTATCAAGCGCTGATTGAACTGACTGATCAGTTTGACGATCACATGTTCTGTTTCTTTAATTGTGAAGTTGGAATGCTACACCTCGTCGTATTCGACAAATGTGGATTGGAAGTTTTGTATGATCATTTGTGGGGTTACACAATTGATGACATTGCAAGTTCAGTTTATACTGATTGGGAACTCCCATAGGTCCCTATCAATGGATTGTGTAATATTTTCTTTTATTGTAATGTAAGTCATTTTCTGATTTCATGGCGATGTGTAATTTCGATTGAATTCTCAGAAATCTCGCCAAATGCAAAGGCGAGCATCCCGAAATGTGACATATGTCGGTTATTGCTTATGCGAGATTATCTGCCTATTTAACACGCGCCAATTGAAATATCAACTCCATTCATTGTTTGTTTAGTATCCACAAAACTATATGTCGAGTGTATTGAGAGTTCACAGAGCTCCCCGCAACAATTGCAGTCATGGTAATGTTTTTTAAATAATTTATTTTTAAATATCAACCATGGAAAAAAATATCAATCTTTGTTTACAGGGAAAAAAGACATATGTTGTGTTTGTTGGACGTTGTCCCGGAATATACGACAATTGGGAAGACGCAAAAGCACAAGTTCATGGATTTAGTGACAATTTATACAAGTCGTTCGCATTGAAAGCTGAAGCTATTGCCGATTATAATGCATTCACACAACGGGAACAAAGTTCATCATCATCCTCAACTTCTACTTCCGGCCAATTTAATTCAACACCTTCAAGAACACAACAAATGTTTTCACGTATGCAAGATGAAATTTCAAGAGAAAACTATGAACACACATTGAAAGTCGATGCGATAATACAAGAATTTAAACAAATGTTAGATAAATAATTGACTCAACGGTTGGGTCTCATGCCAACTAAAGACAAGCTTATTGTCGGTCGTTGTTAATGTTAAGAGTTCTGTTATTCCATATTGTCAGCATTTTTATCATTCTATCATTATAAATAAATTAGTATCTCCACTTTATTATGGTATTATAACTATAATCGAATTAATTTGCTTATTGTCCGATTTTTTGCTTCTCTTTAATTTGCTCTTTTTTAATTTGCTTATACTCATTGTATATATTTTCACAAAATTTTCCCGCAATTCCAAAACCAACAAGCATGGCTGGCACAGTGCTGTAAACTCGCCTAAGGCATAGGCGAGATTGTTATATTTACACAACTATATAAACCTGTGTTTCTCTACCAAGTCGTTGATAAATCCAAGTATAAACCCTTCATAAAACCTTACATCTAAATATGAATATTTTTTCATCCTATTCAATATTAAGACATAGGAGTCTAGATATTGACAACGTTCTTGAATTTTACCTTCGAACTGTGAATGGCAAGAGGTTGTCAATATGGAGTTTTTTTTACAGAGGATGATACTCATGGGACCATTTTTAAAATTGCTCCGAGGTGGAAGCTATTATGCAACGTATTAGCATTGAGGTTTACCCCACCGGATATATCCACAGTCCGAGAAGCTATACTAACGCTCGAGCACTTAAACCGCACTTCGGATGATTTTTGGGTTGTTGAAAGAAGTTCATTGACATATCCACATTACGACGAGAGTACGTGGATAATTTTTGATTTTCATACATGTTTTTATCAATGTCATTTAGTTAAATCATTAGTAATACTTTCTTCGTTCTGATTAGGATGCTACCGGCGTGAGGGACCACCCATGTTTTCAGTGCAATGGGCTCAAGGGGTAGAGCCCCCATTCAAATATGTGCATTACCACTGTCCAGCACAATCTACAATTTCTTGGTTTTATGCAACGGTCTGGCACGGACCGTGACTCCGCATTCCATTTTGCATGTGTGAGCACTTGATTGAACATATTTATTACTCTGTCCAACTCTTTCACGGTAACAACTCTCCATGGGGTTTGTTGAGGGATTGTGTTTCACAACTGGATTCAGGGGATTCTATGAAGCGTATGATATTCACGACCGTGATATAATTTTGTTTCGCCACATGGGTCTGTTTAAATTTCATTTTTTTGTGTTCCGAGAAAGCTATCAGATTTTCCTCACTGATAATGCAGAAAGTGATGCTATAGAAAGAATGCCACTTAACGA